GCGAAGCAAGCGTTTCATGTGGCATCAGCTTTAGTTTTAGAAAATTTAGCAATGCCATAACACTTTTTTCACAATTTTCGTTAATCACTAGCGAATGCTGTTATCATATTTTGCAAAATATATTAACACAAAAAAATAAATAATTCTTAAAAAATAGAGGAATGAAATTTATTCTATGCAGCATAAAAAGGAAAAAAACCACAAATATTACCACATACATACATAGATATATCAAAAACTAGCCAATGACCAGTCAAAATCTACAATCTTCAAAATCTACAAAAATTACACAAAAGAAAGATATATGCATATGTATGTACATACGTACAAGTACATGTGTGCGTACGCAATATGGCATTCGGTTGCGAAAATCAGTCCAGTTGAATATGTAGTCAGCCAACCCCATCGCCCAACTCTGCACTCTGCATCAACATCAACACTCCTTACTACTTCATATTCAGTCCGTATTGTTGGTTGTCGTTGTTGTTCATGGATATGTTTGCCATCGTATCTATCACAGTAGTGCAAGCAAATGAATGATTAGAAGAATGCATAACTGAATCGTAAGAAAAAAAGAGAAAAAAAAACACGCATACTGCATACGAGTATGTATGTATGTATGTAGAGCTTCCTAATCCTGACAATCAGCCATTTCCACATACATAACTAAATAAGTAACTAAAAGAAAAATACAAAATTTACTTAATTCATTTAATTGGCTTTCCCTGAGTAATCCTTGAACTTCTCTGCCAAAATACTATATCCCCAAATGCATATCTCGGTGCATATGTTTGTATGTGCTCTCACTTGTAGTCGTTTTTTTACTTTAGTTAATGTTGAATGCTTTGTTGAAAATTTTCACACTATTATTGAATTAAAATATTATAGAATCATAGTTGCAATATTTTAAAATACAATTTTATAGATGATAGAGGCGAAAATAATAGATCGTAAATGCACACTGAAATAAGTATTGAAATATGCGAGTTTTTATGCACTGAAAAAATGGATGCTTAGAGAAAGTTGTTAATTCTTTTACAGGCTAAAAATAATAATAATATAAAACAAAAAAGAGAACCTTTCAATATAAAATATCAATAATAAGATAATAAACGTTCAGTGCCTGTGAGGGAAATCTATTGATAAGCTTTTAAAAAAGAGTCCCTCTGCTGTGCTTAGTCAGAAAATATTCCTATATAGTTATTTCAAGAGTTAATTGGATACGTTGCTCAAAAAAACTATAATCGGCGACCGCCGTAAATGTGATAAATAAGAGTCTTAATGTCAAAAGCTCGAGCGGGCGAATAGTTCTTTTTTGAGCTTTTTTTGATGCAAAAAAGCACACTAGATGTCACCACCCAATGCCTATGTCGAAGAATTGTTCGCTGATTCTTAAAATCTAATTGACTGTTTGTCTATAGATCGATTTTCTTCATTAGCAGCTAAATTTTTTTGTAACAAGATTTAACACAAATAAAAATAATTATATTTTCTCAGCTTAAGTTTGAACTTTTTTCATTTTTTTCATAAAAAAAAAATAATAATTAATCTGGAACGATTTATTAATTACTCCGAAATCATCAGGCCAATCGAACAGTGATATACAGTGACTCAAACAAATGACCTTCTTCAAATATTCGTAATGTTCTTCGAGGTATTTTTTTTTGTTATTTTTATATAAAAATATCGTATAAGCTTTAACTAAAACCGTGTAAATAACAGTTTCAAACTTTATACAAAATTTAGGAAAATTCAACAAATTTTCATAAAAATTTCAACTTTTTATTCTGATTTTTGGGTATGCAGTTTTATAGCCCATACAATTTGAGTCTAACGAAGTGCAGGTTTTAAACGACTAAAAAATCGCGTTGATTTTTGAGAATTTTTTTTGGAGGCTACTTTTTCGGGTTTTTTTAATATAAAAAGCGCAATTTACAAAAATTTGCGTTGATATTTTGTTGCTGACGGTCTACTGCATTTTATTTCATAAGAAATTCATACTTAAATGAAATAAAGTGCAAAAATCCGTCACCAAAAAAATATTCTCAAAAATCAACGCTATTTTTTAGCCGTTTGAAACTTGCACTTTATTAGACTAAAATTGTCTGGGCTATAAAACTGCATACTTTTTTAAATTGCATACTTTGCAAAAATTTTCCAAAAATTCAGAATAAAAAGTTTACATTTTGATGAAAATGTGTTGAATTTTCCTAGATTTTGTATAAAGTTTGAAATTGTGATTTACACGGTTTTGGTTAAAGCTTAGACGATATTTTTACAGGGTATATAGGTTTATAGAGAATTTCGTTAGCTTTATTAATTGTTAAATTGGTTCGTAAAATACATATTTGTACGTGATGAGAGGGAACCACTTTTTTAAGCTGAATTAGGGTAAATTTAAAATATTTCGAAAACTAAATTTTTGGAATCAACGAGCGAACAAAAAACACAAATTTGTGATCCAGTGTAATCTATTCAGCTATAACTATACATGATTCTAAATGAAACAAATTTTCAGTATGGGGAGCTTCAGTTAACAGAGAAAAGGTGAAACTACACAGTCCAGTCTATAAGTGAATTTCCAAGCTCGCAATTAAACTGAATTCCAGAAGGGCGTTGTCCTCTGATGGCTGGTAATTACTAAGCAGACAGATGGACAACAAAATTTCAAAAAAAAACATTTTTTTTTGGCTTCTTTATTTACTGGGTCAGTCATTTCATTCTATGTTCTTCAAACATAGCAAAATGAAACTACTCAAATGTGTGGTAGATGCAATGTGGTAAAAGTCCGAGCACTGGTTATACCATCATTATTTTGTTGAAATCCCTCCAAGTTTCTTTAAAAGTTTTGTGCTGCGATTGCATAGTTTATCAGGAGTTGTCCCACTGTCAAGGAACTGCGAGTACCTGCAGTTTTTTATAAATATAAAATATAAAGGAGAGTTCGTATGAACTTCCTGTGCCCAAAGCGCCTTATTTTAATTTTTTCTGTGATAGCAAAATAAAGTTACTATAAAAGTATTGTCCGAGCTTTAACTATGTTCATATAAATTACAGTCTCAAACCTTATTCTATTCAAAATTTTTTCCTTTTAAATTTGAAATCTTTAAGGCAGAGTCACACGATTCGGCATTTATACAAATTTTCCCAATTACAAATGTTTACAAATTTTTTAATAGAAGCTCGCTGTCTTGCACAGATGGTGTGACTGCAAAAAAAAAATGTCGTCCCAATTTATTTATTTTGTACCCATAGCCAATACAAAAAGTTTTCGAATGTGTACAAATGTACCAATCGTGTGACACGGCCTTTAGATCATTAGAGAGTGCAAGTTTCAAGCGACTAAAAAAATCGCGCTGATTTTTAATACTTTTTTTATGGTGACGGATTTTCGCTCTGTTTTCCACGTATGCATGAATTTCTTATGAAATTAAATGCGGTAAATCGTTCGCTATGAGATATAAAATTGCATACCCAAAAATTTTCTAAATATTCAGATTAAAAAGTTGAATTTGTGATGAAATTTTTTTGAATTTTTCTTAATTCTGTATAACATTTGATTCTGTGATTTATATGGTTTGGTTAAAAAGCTTGGACAATATTTTTATAAAAAATAGCAAAAAAGTAAAAATAACTCGATAAACACAAAAATTAAAAAAAAAAAATAATCAACACGTGATCACTTGCTTGAGTCAGTGTATGTCAAATTTTAATGTTTTCAAACCCATGTAGCGACCTCTTAGAGTAATTAAACAACTTGGAAAATTTCGAGGCTGGTTGTATGTATTTTACTCGTAGAATAGGTGGTCCAATAAAAAATTCAGATATTGATATTTTTAGGACTAGCCTACTATATATGGGTCATTCCATACAAAATTTACAGCTCAATATTTTTTTTTTTTTTTTGTGTGAAATAGCGAAAAAAGAAGACACCAATTTTTTTATTTCAACATTCGAAAATCTCGAAATAATTTCCGAAATTTTGAATTCACAAAGAAGTATCTTTTTTAAATTTTTTGCAATGCTAACTATTTGTCGGAGAAAATCAGTTAGGTAATCAATTGCTTCTTGCAATCTAAATAGTTGTCAAACTTTATGAAAGACTCTTTAAAAATTTGAGAATGGAAAAACCACAACTGTAGAAGTTACGAGTTTTTTATGCCTGCATACATAAAGTAGCATACATGTCTGCGCGCTGAAACAAAAATCAAACAGTGTTAAATTAATAAAAAAATTGTTTAAAAAAATGCAAAAAATTATTTATTTAAATCTATCTCACATGCTAATGCAAAGCATTAGCTAACGCACATTAGGCACATTTTGATTACTGATTTTCTCCGAAAAATAGTTTATTAACTGCAGACATTTTAAAAAGATGCTACTTTGTGAGTTCAAAATTTCGAATTTTTTTCGAGATTTTCGAATATCATGAAATGGAAAAAGAGGGAAGAACTCACAAAGTAGATTTTTTTGCAGTTAATAAACGATAAAGAATACAAAAAAAAAAAAATATTTCACACTTAAAAAAATATTGAGGTGATAATTTTGTATGGAATGACACATAAGTTTTGATTATTTTACACATTTTTTCGTCAAAGGCATATTCTTGCACATCTGCTAACATCGACCAAAAATAAGGTCATAACGTTGAGGCAGCCAGGCCCATATATATGTATGTAAGGAAACCAAAGTTAAAACCACTCTAAAGTTTCTACTACACTACAAAAATAAAGTTATCGAATAAATTTCTAGTTCGTAAGTAGTTTGCACTTATAATTAGAAATACTCAGCAACTTCAACGTTTGCATTTGCGTAATCGATTTACATACATCAATAGTGAAATACTTTGCATTGCCAAATAAACAAACACACACATATTTACATAAACACCTTCACACATTTTCACTCGCTCAACAAAATAGTTGAAAACATGTTAAATACAACAAAAGAAACTTTTTTCTTTTAAAATTTCAAATCAAATTTTTACCCCCCCCACCCAGGCTGTAAACACAAATACACGTAACAGAAGTCTTGGTCGTTTAAGAAGGCAGCCGCCCCGTCATGGTATTGGTAAGTTCTCAAAAAAAAACCGCTTTAAATAGTACCTATTCATAATTCTTGTTAAATTTCCTTAAAAACTTGTATACAATACGTTACAGATGCTATGCAACTACTAATTACTAATTACTTAAGTATTTAGTGTTAAAATTATGTCACTTAAAAATCACAAGTTATTGAAGAATTCTCAGTTTAAATTAAAACATTACTTGCCCGAAGTTACATAAGTAATGCATTCGCATTGTCACTTGATTTATTACTACATATTACTAACTAACTACTATTACACTGCTATCATCTTCATTATCACCAAATACAAACAACAATAATTTGCATGGAACCACCACACAGACAGTCAAATACGCAATACCTTTCCATTTATATTTCGGTTTGATAGAATTGCCTAAAAATTTTATTTTTCCATTCGTATTTAAATATGATTTCTGTGATATTTTCTCATGCTGTGACTAGTAAAATCCTTTAAACAAAATGTCGCTTGTCGCCTATGAAAAGCTGCGAGAATATTTATTGGAATTAAATTCATAAGTAGCGTAGTTAATATACCCTTCCTCCGCTATTCGATTTGCATGTTGCAGCGAGCATGAAATGCTTTGTAATTTTAATCGTATAATTTAAATATGGCTTCATACCCAAACGAATGAAGTAGTGCTGGTTGCAACATGCTTGTATCGTAAAGTTTACTGTTAACTGTAACCCACAACCTTTTAGAATTGGATAAACGTGTCATTTGAAGAGGGAATAATACTCGTATAAAAACCAATAATCGTTATACTAACTGCATACATACAGTCAGCGTCAAAAATATGAATACCCTGACGTTTTGGCCATTTTTTTTTATTTATAATTTCCATACCAATTTTTTTATATTTTCTTATAATAAGATACATATATAACTCGGGAAAATGCAAGAAATACCACAAAATTTTCATCAAAGTTTTCAACTTTTCAATTCGATTTCTTTAGTATGCAGTTTTGTAGCCTATTAAATTTTAGTATGATTAGTTACAAGTTTCAATTCTCTAAAAATTACCGTATATTTTTGAGAATTTTTTTTCGAGGTTGTTTCGCATTTTCTACCACATAACGCATGAACAAACCCTACTTTTATATGGATGAAAACGCGCAACACCCGCGACAAAAAAAAATCTCAAAATTTAACGGTAACTTTTAAAGACTTGAAACTTCCATCTTATCCACTAAAATTTAATGGGCTACAAAACTTTCTGTACGAAATCCAATTTAGAAGTTGAAAACTTTGATGAAATTTTTTTTGGTATTTCTTGAATTTTCGCCGAGTTTTTTGCCGTTGAATAAACTAAATTAAAAAAAAAAAAACAATAATTGGTATGGAAAATATAAATAAAGAAAATCGTCAGGGCATTCATATTTTTGACGCTGACTGTATGTATCACATTATATATAAAATATTTGTTTTACAATAAAAATAAATAACGAATCATGTTGCTAAAATCGTTTAAGCTTTTTTGCTCTGTTCTGCATATGCATTTTTTAACTAAAGGTAACCTTTCAAAAATTATACCTAAGACAAATACTTCAGATTCAGCGGTAACAATTTCTCAACCTTCGGTTTACCACAACTCAGCCACAGAGCTCGCATTTGTGGGGCAACGAAACATTCGCAAACCCTCTCGCCCGGTGTGCGAAGCCGGATTAACGTGTAGACTAAGATTCAGCCCGACAGAGATCTTAAAATGCAAAAGTGGCTATTTAATCGGAGGTCAGACTCAGAAAGTCAGACCTTTGGGCATGGGTTGATCATTAACGAAATACAATTAGGAAAGACGAAAGTGAAAGTGAGTGAAAGATCGGCCTATCTTGGCAGCCGTTTCGAGAACGCTTTATCTCAAAAAATGGCTCAAGAACGCCCAACTTCAGAATTTGATTGAAAAACGCCCTACCTCAGAGTTCGGTTGAAAAGCGCCTTGTCTCAACTACATATAACGAAGATATGTTGCGACAGGGCGTTTCTGAAACGGCAGTTATAATAGGGCGTTCTTCAACCAAATAGCGCATTCTTAAATATGTTTCTGAGATATTGCGTTTTCTAACTGCCTGCCGGGATAGTATTGAAGCAACTCAAGAGACCCACCCTGATAGATTTGGAAAAATCTAACACATTTGCGAGCTGTCTAAAAATTCTATTCACACCGCATAACTTTGAACCCCCATCCGAGACAAAAAATAAAGTCAAAGTCGAAAAATGTCATCGTCTTATTTCAAAACAATAATTTTAAAATATTTGTTCAAACTGAGCATTTAAAGACATGTATACGTATTCGCCAGTAGCTGAGTGTGCAGAGAAGTTTGCTACTATTTATTAGCTTTCAGGAGGCCCCAGGTTCGAATTCCGTCAGAAGCAACACATTAAAATGATTTACTAAAATTGAAATAATTGTTGAATCTTAAATTTGTTTTTGGTTTGGTTTTCTGTAACTTTGAAAAAGTTTCTGTGAAGTTCATAATGAAATCGTTTTCAACGAAAAATTGACTCAGAAAATTTTCAGGAAAACAGCCGAAATGGCATCCGTTTTACAACCATTTTCGATAGTTTTCTGGACATACGTTTCGGATGAACACTTTAGTGGGAGAATTAATCTGAAAAACGTCCGAAAACGGAATCGGAAAACGGATGAAACATCAGGTTTTTATACGAAATTGTTTCCATTTTCGGATACGTTTCCGGATATTTTGCTGGCTGGGAAGTTGAGCTTGAAATAAGCTCCCAGCTCTGATCGCATTAGCAGCCAATTGTTATAGCAACTACCCAAAGAGAGTCTCACTTTTTCGACTTACTTGCTTAATGTTTTACCTATTACGGTATTTACATATACCACTACAATGGAAGGTGTCACAAATAAAAATAATTCTCAAATGCGGAAAAAGTACTGATAAAGTAGAATCCTATGGGCTTCGTGCCCACCAAAATTATGGAAATTCACTTCTTGAAAAGGTTATTTCCAATCATAGAAGAGCGAAAATTCGTTCCAATTCATCAATTTGGCTCCAGGAAAAAACATAGCTCAATGGAACCAGTACATAGGCTTATTGGAAAGATTTGCTTTGCCTTCTACCAACAAAAGTTTTGTACTGCTGCCTTCGTCAATGTTTTGCAAGCTTTCGATCACATTTGGCACGATGGATTATTTTATAAAATTAAAACTTCACTTCCAATTAACTACTTTATATTAATTCTGTCCTATCATAAAAATCCAAACTTCATGAACGCTTAGCAGGCGGACCCCCAGGAAGCGTTATGGGCCCAAGAGGCATCACCGTCGGCACCTTTGCTTAAGACACTGCTCTTTTATCAATGGATACTGACCCTAATTTGGCTTCATTCAAACCGCAGGGAAACTTAAGATAACTCTCTGGTCAAAAGATTTGCGAATAAAGTACATCGAGTAAAAATCTGTCCAGGTGACATTCACACCCAAACGAAATACTTTCCCGTACGCCAAACTCAATGGTGTACATATATATACCCAAAGCAACGAGACTAAACATCTTAGTATGTACCTCGATAACAAGTTAACCTGAAGAACACATAGACATATTTATAAAACGCTACTACTCGTATAAAACCGATCTAGGCTTACGCAACTAAAATATGCTTTAGTAGCTCAGTTATGCATAGTTGGCGTTGCATGAGGGTTGTCACATAAGGAATCTGTTAAATGAGTTTTGCGTGCGGTTTCAGCGGTCATAAAAATCTGAAATTTTTTTGAAATCCATCCGTCATTTAAAATTTTTGAAAAGTGATATCAAATTTCATAAAAATCGGAAATTAATTTAAAAATATATTGGATCCTTTATTTTCGATATTTGAAAACCGATTTCAGTTTTGTAATTAGCGAACCAAAGAAGTTCTTTGAAAGAACCTTTGGATGTCCGATTTCATAAATATCTGAAATTTTTTAAAAATCTATCCGGCATTTTGAATATTTGAAAACGTTCTTCATTTTTGTAATTAGCGACTCAAAGAACCTTTGGATATCAAATTTCATAAAAATTTTAACATTTTTTTAAAAATCAATGCGCCATTATGAGTTTTTAAAAACTGACTTCAGATTCGGAATCGGAATTCCAAATCCCTTAGATGCGAAGTTGAGTTAAGTTTGAAAAATCACAAGGCAATATTCTGTTGGCCTATTCAGCATAGCGGTTGTTAGGGGTTGTTTTCCCCATGGAAACCATTAATGGCTTGATCTAGAAAAACGACAGATTTCGGGTACTTTTTGTGTCTCTACTTTCCGAAAAGGCTCGATTTTTTATGGGTGCAACAAAAAGTTTAATTTTGTCGGACGGTGTAATAGTGTCTTGATCATCACCCTTTACGAGTTCATGGAACCTCGAAGCTTCGCCCTATTCTATTTTTTCTGAAATAAAATAACATTTATCCTCGAAACGACATTGGATGACACAAGTTTTCGCAAAGTAGTAAAATGTTATTCTACCTTGGTTTTTAAGTCTTAGAGGCCAGATCTAATAAAAGCAACAGGTGCGTCAATAAACCCGACTCTGATCGGGTGCATTGTCTGGGAGAACTTTTAAATGTCCTTATATGTATATAGATAAAAAAAAAACTCGCATCGTTCCATTTAGATAGACCCGGTTTATACACGCCTTCACGTCCTCAAATGCATATGTACACAGAGTAAATAAGTTGCCTGTAATCCCAATTCGAAAATTTATTTGTACGATGAATAAATCCCTTGGCTCGTTATTAAGGTGTTAGCTGTTTCTTCACTCTATCTATCTAGTGTATGCTACTATAGTCTGCTAACCCTTTCGAAATTTATGCCGCCGACAAATTTTGCAATTAATCTCTGTTTTTTTTTTCATTTCTCTTTTCTTTCTCTCATTACCAAGCAGTAACTCAGCACCGTTCGAATAGTCCAGCACAACACTCCAGTTCCGGCTCATCGCCGGTGATGTCAAATAGTAGTTCTAGTCCAGCGCCACCTTCCAGCAGTCCTAGTCCGCAGGAGAGCCCCAAGAATTGTAGTTACATTTACCGTGATTGATTGATATGTAATACCAAATCGATGCCACTAATCAAATCAGCAGCAGCAGCTGCAGGAGCAGCAGTAGTGACCACAATAGCCGTAACACAGCAAGCAAAAACTACAACAACCGCCACAATAGCAGCAAGTGTCAAGGGAGCAATAAGAGCAACCACAACAACAGCAGCAGCAACAGCAACAGCAACGGCCACAGCCACGCGCACCACGTCCGGCAAAGTGCGCACAACACTCGCCAAATCCGTACCAGTTACACCAGTACAACCAAAATCACCAGCTACACACTTCATATCATCATCGCCCGAATGGGATGGCGTTGATGATGGCGCAACAACGCAGGAGGACCACTATAACAACTGCAGCGATTATCTGCCACATTCGTATCCCAATTATACCTTCGATCTCTCCGAGGACGACTCAAATGAGATTGACGATGAATTGGAGTTAGACGACTCATCGCTAGCGATGATAACACCGCCACCACCCTACGTCGACACGCCACTACAATATGCACGCGCGCCACCACCGCCGCCGCACGCACAGCGTACAAGACGCGCTGCCACAGCGCCACCGCCGCCGACACGTAAGAAGCTCTTTCAAAATCGCGAAATATTCAATATAAATACGCCGACGATTACGCCAAGCAGCAGCAGCTTTGCCAGCGCAATAACGCCGACAAAATTGAGCGCAGCAGCGGCGGCTATGTTTGCGGCCCCACAAATGGCACAGCTAAATAAGAAATGGACGCAGTTGCATCGCAAGCGGCGACGACGGAATAGCAGTTCGGGTGATTCAAAAGAGTTGGATAAATTGGTGTTACAATCGGTCGATTGGGATGAAAATGATATATATTGAGGGATGTGGAGAGGAGTTACGGCGCCGGTAAATGGCTGAGCGGCAACGGCAATGGCAATGGCGTTGGCGATGTTGACGGCGTGGCTGCTGCTTAAGCGCTTTGCTTGCATGGCTAAGCGTGGCGAAACTCTTTCATATACATACATACACTTTGCGTTTCTTGGCTTAATCGTAGATTTACTTTTTCCATTCGAAATACATATACATATATAACTACAAGTACATGCATATACATAATAGTAATACATACTTATATACTCGTAATTTAAATGCATACAGCAGAAAGAAAGAAAGCAGCAAGTATGTACGTAGTTACATAAAATATAGTATAAGAACGCGCGATTAGGTAACAATAATAGTACAGCAGAAAGCAACAACAATACTGAAACATTTAATCACTTATGTAGAAAGCGTACATATGGAGCTGCGTTAAAAGCAATGTGGAACAAATTTGAGACTTGCGAAAAGTAAGCATTAAATAAAAAGACAAAAGTATAACTTTTTTTCAATATGAGTATACATGCATACATACATACATACTAAACTTCATACACAATAGATACTATCGACTGACAGCATTCGAGTATAACTATCAACACAAATGCAAACCCGACTGTGCGGTATTCCATGTCCTAAATAGACTGCATGTAAATGATTTTTAATTTTTTTATTTTTTTATATATGTAATATGCATAGAAGAATTATGTAAATACGAATGTATACAAAATGTTCATACCTTTAGTATAACGCAATTAAGCAATTGTACGAGTAAGTGAATTTAGCCGGTTCGAAAATTTCGAATTTTATTAATTATTTTGCAATTTTTTTAGTTAAGAGTCGTAGCTAATAAACAGTCGTTTAAATATTTTTCATAAGTTTGCAAATTATGTTCATAATTCATCAAAAGTTGCGCTCATTAAAAGATATACATATGTATTCTTTTTGCAATAAATCCGCAATTTTATACATACACGCATGCATGTACACGTACAGGGACTCCAACAACAAAGTTTCTAAATTTATAAAAAATTTGAAATTTTTTTATATGTATTTACAATGTTTTTCATGTAAATTTTTTTGTTAATCTTTATAAAAATATTGTTCACACCTTCGCCAAAATCATACCAACCAATAATACAAACTATATACAAAATTTAGAAAAATTCATTATTTTCTTTAATTTTTACAAAGTGTTTCAAGTAAATTTTTTTTTTTTTGTTAATTTTTATAAAAAAAACCTTTGTACTAAAATTTTGAAAAATTCAAAAAACTTTCAGAAAATTTCCAAGTTTTTAAATTGTATAATACATAAAGTGTACGTTTTAAGCGCATAAAACTTCGCCGGTGTTTATAAAAACTGACGATGATTTTTTCTTTATTTGTTCTGTGAACGGTCTTACGCATTTTCTTCTAGTAAGAAATTCATGTTTTAAGGCCTGTCTGCAACTGTCAAGAAAAACGAAAAGCTCATATAAAATTTCGCACAAGAAATGGAAAAGAAATTTTCTTAAGTCAGTATGCAGCTTTATATGGAAAAAAGTGAAAAAACTGCCAGCAAAAAAAAAAAACGAAACACAAAATATTAAAAGTCGACGCAAATTTTACAACGCTTTGTTATACTAAAATTTTATGTGCCATTAAACTGCATGCCGGAAAATTTTCTAAAAATTGATGGCCTTATTCATAAAAGATAAAGTAGGTTGAAAGAGCTTTATTTTTTATGAATATGGCTATTAGATTAAAAGTGAAAGTTTAATGAAATTTTTGTTTGTTTTTTTTTCTAAATTTTACACAAAGTTCGTAACTTGGATTTGGTTATAGCATCAACAGTATTTTTATAAACAATTAACCAAAAACTTTAATTTGAAAAACATTGTGAATATTAAAAAAATGTCACCATGTAAACAATTCTTTGAATCGCTGTATGTTTTAGAAGCTGATGTATAGACGAAAATTTGTGGAGACTTCCAGAACTCAAAAACATTTTCTAATATTTTCTAGTGGAGACTACCTGAACTCAAAATAAGTTTCCTAACTTTTCCGCAGGTCTTTGCGGTAATTGGATTTTTGTAAGTTTTCGGGTTATGAGGTCATCTAGAATTTCATTTTTCGTTAAACTGACAAATCCGATCAATTCAGTGAGTGCTTCATTGGAGAGACAATCAAAACGTAATTTTGTCGAATTTTCGAGTAAAAAAATTAATTAAAATGATTTAAATTTTTTTTGGATTATCTTAAAACTTGTTTAATTTCCAAAGTAGAACAAAATAAAGCGTGTCCCATAAAATTCACATGTGGCTATTTTTAAAGACCACCGTAATATACACGCATTGAATACAGTCATTGGTAGAATTTCGTATGCAATGATTGCACTTTCGTCGATTTCAATAAAATCGACCTACGACTTTCTGAATAAGGAAATTTTTGATGATCCAAATTTCGTGACCCCGAAATTTCGGGTTTAGCATCACTTATGCAAATATAACTACCGGCCGAATATATCTCCCGACCCTTTAGTTGACGTATACCAGTTTAAACGATTACATTTTTTTGCATGAAACCCCGTAAACATTTCCACATAAAACTAAATCTCAGTTAAATATAATTTGGACAAGTAGTAATTTCTCTCCACAAATGCATTGGATTTTCACTATCCAGATGAGCGCTAAGAAGAGCAGACAAGTAGCCATTGGCGCCACGCTTGAAAACTAATTTAGTTAGGTAGTACTTTGTCCACTACTACTGGGCAAGTGCTTTGTAAAATATTTGAGTCGATATGAAGTTAGTTCTTTACGGGTATATTTTATAGGAATCTTTTTTTAGTTTTAAGTGCTTATTTTTCATTTTTTTATGTTTTTATTGACGGTTCTTTCGAAATTATGTATTACAAAATTATGCTTGGAGTAAAAATTATATTTTGTATTGTTTCATAGTCTGCTTTTGGGCGCTAAACAAGCATTATTAAAAATTATTAATCTAGTAAGTGTTTAAGTTAAATGATATCATTTTTATATGTAAGTACGTATAATGCTTTTAGTTCATTTTATTTATTACTGTAAAATGCCTTTAGTTTTATTTTATTTTAGAAGTATTTTGTGTTTTTGTTTATTTGACGCATAGATTTATATATTTTATTGACTTTTAAGTTTTTTGTTTTAGTTTTAGTTTTAGTACCTTAATGTATAATTTTCAAACTGATTCTTTTACATTTTTGTAAACTAGTGCAATTAATTATTTTATTCTAAGCTTTTTAATTTAAGTTGAGTATACCAAAAAACGAAAAAGAAAATTGAACACCGAAATAAAATAGCGCTGATAAAAAATACCAAATGAAAACAGGAAATTTTATTATTGAAATTAACATTTTAAGTCGTGTTAGGGGATCACTCAATACAAGCGCCCAGCGTTGCAAGAACTGAGTGAATTGGGGACAGCAGCTAGAAATTTAAAATTTAAAAAAATGTTTGTAGAAAACAAATTTGCAAATTTGTAACTCGAATTGAAACGAGCCTATTATGAGCAGCATCCGGTAGAATATGTCAAGATGCAGAAAAGAAACGAAAAAGTCAAAGTATTAAATATAAAATTCCAACTCCTTTAAAATGGATTTTTGAGAAATTAAAAATAGTAATGGCTTCTTCAATAAAGCGTTAAAAAGAGTACATATTGCTTTAGCAAGCAAGCACAAGTTTCTGATTGTCTCTACGCCTCAGAATTATCTCCTTGATATTTTAAACGAAATATGATTATAATAGTGTGTCTTTGAAAATCGCCAGCATAAGTTTTCTGCACCTAAATTTTGGAAATAGAAAGCAAGGGCGCCTAAAGCTATGCAATATCAATTTACTTTACTTTCATACCGACAAAATTTACTGAATTCCTATTACAACGCTTGAGAGGCCAATCCGGGTACTGTGGGAGAAAGGTAAGCCGATGCAGATTTTAAGGCAACATTGCTATCGCTAATTTTGATTGCCTAAAATCTCCAAAAGAATAGCAGGCCCGCCTCATAGCATGCAACATCTAAATAGTTACATGCCGCTCATACTGCCAAATTTGACTGATTGCACATTGCGTCTGTTACTTCTCCATGTTGTATACTTTTAGGCCACACTGCTTTTCATTTAGAAAATTTTGCGACGAAAATTTAGCGTAGCGACTGTCAGAATTCCACTGCTGATGTTTGCTGTAAATGGAAGTTTTCGGATACTTATTTAGTTTTTTTTATTTTAAATTTTGACGTATTTTTGCTTTTTTTATCTCGATCGCAATATATTGATCTTGGTTTGTATTACTGGAGGTCTTATCATTTATAAAGTCTGCTTGAAGGGATTTAAAAAATTCTTTTATTTCCTAAGTTTTTCACATAATTTTGTTTTTTGTTTTTTTGTTTTTTAGGTTGAGCGCAATCAGTTATTCAGGCCTATCACTGAACTCATCTAAATTAAAGAGACCACGTCAAAGTCGGTCACAAATCAATTTCTTCTTTTATATGCAATGTGTTTTTGCTCTACACAATTCTTGCCAGAAGGTCCGATGGTTAATAAAGAATAAAAATTTGTGAAAAAAAAATTTCAAAATAAAAGCTTGTAACTATAGGCCACATTTCTTTAAAGGAAACTCATGGATTTTTTCACCCCTTATAACCCAATGCTATCATTCTGAGCGATCAATAGAAAGTTTAAAAGCTAACACGGTGCGACTCTCCAAAATACCTGAGAACTCCTCATACGAATTTTCACGTAAAACAATAATCGAAATACTATGAAATTGGCCTGACATCCCCAAAATAATGACTAACGGTTAAAAAACCAGGTAAAGTTTCGATGGAAACTATTGAATGGTGGCACGACTATACAGGGTATCCTAGATAACCCGCCCAACCCTTCTAAAATGGAGAGACATTTTTTCGTATTGAAAAACGAAAAAAATATGACCTACCAAATCGGGGTTGCTCTATTTTCTGGTGGTATGACCGACTTCCGATTTAGACCGGAAGTGAGTTTAACTGACCGGAAGTCAATTTTTTTAAATTTCGCATATGTGCATGTTTTAACTACAGATTCGGATTATGAGTAAAAAAAAATACGTAACTTTTGTTTGAAACAATTTTCTCGGAAGTGCCTTTTTCATCCCCTAAATGACCTTCAAATTTAGCTCGTCCTGGACTTATTAAATGAGTGAAAATATATTTATTGGAAAACTAGGTCTGAGATGTTCTTTTTTTTGGTCTTATTACTGACTTCCGGTTTCGACCGGGAGTAGGTTAAATAGACCGGAAGTGGACTGTTTTAACCGAAAGTTCATTCCAGAAAAAATTTTCCGACGAAATGTATGGATTTTTGTCGGCGGAATCCGAATCTTTTGTAAAAATCATGTATGCCCTATTTAAAAAAAAAAATTTACTTCCGGTCAGTTTAACGCACTTCCTGTCGAAACCGGAAGTCGGTTAATTGACCAAAAGATAGAGCATCATTAACTTGGTGATTCTTAGTTTTTCGTTTATCAATAAAAACATTTTCGTATATATATTTCAAAAGTACAGTAGCTCGTTTCGGTATCTTCTCTACCGATTATTTCTCTACTGGTAGAGAATATACGTAATTCTCTACAACTCATTGACAGCAGAGAACAGAGCGGCGAATTCAAATCTCAATTCGCCTTGGTAGAGAATTGTTACAGAAACGAGCTACAGGGCGAGTTAAAGTTCGAAGGTCATTTAGAGGTTGAAAAAGGCACTTCCGAGAAAAAAGTTTCAAACCAAATTTACGTATTTTTATTCTCAGAACCCAAATCTGCAGTAAAAACAACATGTATGTCCAATTTTTGCGTTATTCAATAAAGAACATTTCCCTCCATTTTAGAGGTGGTGGACGGGTGATCTAGGACACCCTGTAGTTCTTAAATGTTTTTAGAAATCACAAAAGGAAATAAGTGGTTTAGCTGCTTAGGATATGGGTTGAAAACGAAAACGACGACACAGCCTCCTGCAGGCTGCTCGCACACAAACACTGCCAAGCCAAATATGCATTGCAACGCTCAAAAATCATAAATTAAATTAATTAATTATTATTAGGTAAAAAACGCGCATACACATACATACATATGTATACAATCATGTACATATCAAGGTTTTAGTGAACCTACTTGATTGCATTTTAAACTCATTTTTGCAGCAAATAAGCCGTACGTCAAAGCAATGACAACTACTAA